CCCATGCCTGCGGTTAAATATACTGCTGGATCTTATATGTTGTGGGCCTATTTATATGCTGGAGGTCCTGGACATCTTGTTCAGATACATGGTATTATGGATTCTATCAAATACAAATACAAATATGATAAAAAAATCTAAACCTGACGCCTTCTGCTAGAAATCTCATAATGGGCCGTGCCATGCCATGTCGAAAACAAACATCAAAATCAACACAAAAATGGGTAACTGAGCACAAAATGAAGCTTCTGTCTTGACCGTCCCAGTCTCCTGACCTGATGAGTGGTCTGAACTGAAGAGAAGAAGCACCAACATGAACTTGTGAATCTGAAGGATCTGGAGAGATTCTATATGGAGAAATGGTCTCTGATCTCTTGTCAGGTGTTCTCCAAACTCATCAGGCATTATAGGGAAAGACTCAGATCTGTTATCTTGGAAAAGGAGGTTGCAAAAAGTATTTAATAATAGGGTGCCAATAATTATGGCCAGCGTGTTTTGGAGTAAAACATTTATTTCATACAATGTGATTTACCCCCACTTTCAATTCTTTTACTTCAATGAAGGGTTAGATTTTTGTGATTTTTTATTTTTTTTTGAATGGAAGATCAAAAGGATAAACAATGCAGATTTATTTTTTACTGCCAGTTTTGATCATATTTACCAGGGGTGCCATCAATTTTGACCATGCCTGTATGCTATTCTGGGTGTCTTTTTTTTAGGGGATAAATTATACTATAGTAGGGAAGGGTGTGTGTGTGTGTGTGTGTGTGTGTGCACCTGTTCATATTACTACCGATATGCTGCTAAATTATATTGCTACTATGGCATAATATTTGGTCACGATGAAGTGCGTCCACCCTGCTGACATGTTTACCTCTTGTACTTTATCCACATTGTGTATACAAAACACTGCCACAATCAAAAACCTCAAAAACAGTTTCTGCCTAATATATATATCTATATTGTTTTACTGTTTCAGCTGAATATTTTTGGCTGCTGAAATTTCAATGCATTACTAATTTTAAGGTGTGAAATGGTACAGTTTTTATTTCCGGCTGACTGTGAATGTGTATGGACAACTGATTAGATCACACGTGCACACAACAGTTTTTTTGTAATTTTAGGCCATCCTTAAAAATATTTTGGTTTGCAGTTACAGTAAAAAAAAAGGGTCGGTCAGTAGGTAGGTCTATTTTAGTTTATTTTCAAGATTCAATGTGAAAAAAAGGACAATTTTGGTGATTATGTCGGTACGAATTTAAACAAATTTGCTTATCGTGACGTCACTGACTGAGTCTTCAACCCATGCCTTCGGGCTCACCATTGCAAACCTCATTCTGATATAAGTTATAGACCACAAACAATTTGAAATCTTTATCAAAAAACATTTATTACATTAATTTTGAATTCTGAATAATGAAATGAAGCAAAAGCATAGGCCATAGTGTGACATGCGTAAATCAATGGTGTAAACATAATCATCATAGATGACCCCACGGGTTTTTATTTAAAAGAAAGAACGTATCCTACACAATTTATATTTACAATATTTACTATAATATAATTTATTTCATTTTATTGCATTAGTATTAGTTGTTTGAAGAGTAAAACAAAACGGTCGGTCTTTACAACCGGCAAATCGGGAAAAAAATAAATAAATTGGGTCGGTCCTAATTTGACAGGGTCGGTCGGGTTATGGCAAGCGCTTTAGATTACAGCCCGAAAAGTACTGTGTCATTAAGAGGAATTTACAGTGTAACTTTCTGTAATTATAGTGTACCTTAGTACTTACATGTACAAAATAAGGGAACAATATATAAAGTTTGGGGAATAAAGGGGTAACGTAACAACCAGGAGAATTAAAAAAATATTTATACTTTAAGTATTATAGAACTAAGGGGTACTTATTCTACTATTAAGATACAACAGTCTTACATTTGGGAGCAATTTAGCAAGAACATTCACTGCGTACCTTTTTGTACCAATTTTGTATCAATACATACTGTATAGGCTTTTTAAAAATTACAAATACACTGGGAAATATATCTGGTTTCATGTGGTTAAAGGGCAAGTGGTGCTTGTATAATAAATAAAGGTTCTGAGTCAGTGATATAAGATTGTGTATGCATTTTTATTGTACTTTCCCAGTATGTAACAAGAGGGTAACAAGCACCACTTTAATTTACAGCCCGCAATGTCACACTTACCCTGTAACTACATGAAAAAAGGGGGTAACAAAGCACCACTACATGAAACAAGAGTATATATTTAAGCAAAATTTGCAATACTTTTCGTTTTCAGTGCACTTTTGTTAAAAAGATGACTTTATAAACGCATAGATATGTATCCTGTAATTTTTAAAAAGCCTATACAGTATGTACTGTTTCACCATTATTTCAAAAAGGTATGTTCTTGCTAAATTGCTCCCAAATGTAAGATTGTTATAACATAAGTAGTAGAATAAGTACCCCTTAGTTCTATAATACTTAAGAGTATAAATATTTTTTTTTAATTCTCCTGGTTGTTACCCCTTTATTCCCCAAACTTAAAATATTGTTCCCTTATACTTGTATTGTAAGTACGTTATAGGTACACTATAATTACCCAAGGTTACGCTGTAAAATCGCTTTAATTACGCAGTACTTTCCGGGCTGTAATCTAAAGCGTTACCAATATTTTTAAGGATGGCCTTAGCACAAGGACAGTGAGTGTGCATTTTCAGAGAATTTAGTTACTATTCCATTACTCGTTTGAAGTTAGAGCTCTGTCTTTGAAGCTCTGTCTTTCTCTCCCTCACATTCCTGGTGTCAGTTTATAGAATAATTTCTTACCATTTCACTGTATGTTGTTGCTCCTCCCACATTTAGCCTAGCTACTTGAAGAAACTACTTAATTATTTACAACTTTACATCTTAAATAATACCACAACAACGTAAACACCGGTCAATTACTAGTATTTATTTTTTTATTTATGATGAATGATAAAGAAGGCTAGAATGCCTACTCTTTCTGTTCACTTCTTTTGTGGTTTAAATGCTGTCTGTCTGTGAAGAGGGTTTTTTTTTTTCAATCTATTGAATAGTTGTGTGAGTCTAAACTGAATATTTGACCAGACATTTCTTTGTTTTTTTTTTTTTATTAGGGGGTACTTAATGTCAGCTCTCTAGACTTTGCAACTCTAATCTGAGCTCTAACTTTAACCACGCTGAGATTTAAGCAACAAAAATTGTTAACCCAAGCAGTTCTCTGAGATTCTCCACCTCTGCAGAGCTGGCTAAACTAGGCCGGGATGTTCCCGCCTGAGATAGCTATGTCAACACTGTGAGTGTTACCCACATTTAGTCAGGAGCAAGAGGAGATTACTCCCTCCCAGGGGAGAGTGTGGGATTAGACATTCAGCGGCTTGTTTTGAGGCAGATGAAAGGAGCAATGACTCAGACATAGACAGTCATTCATGCAGGTTCACACAACAACCATGTCCTCATGTAGACGTCACAGCATTTCCAGGATGATTTTGCAGAGCCTCATTTGTTTTTGGGCCTCTGACGATTACAGGCATAGTTTTTAACTCATCGCAGTGGCAGTTTTTTTTAACCCATTATTAAATTCACAGCGTAGACTCTTAGGAATCAGTTGCTCACTTATTCTGCAGTTAGAGGTGCTGTGACATCTTTATCCAGTGATGCGCAAGCTAGCAAAGATGCTATGTCATGCGTGCATTAAATCAGCATTTGCGTGACTATTTCCCGGTTCCAAGCATCACTCACTGCTGCCTAGAGCTTTCAGCATTACAGACTGCATTATAGGCTGCAGACATGGTTGTTGGTCCCATCATCACGCAAACCCTAAATCTCATCAGCTGAATAAAAAAGGGAGGGTCACCATCCAGTTCATCTACTTGCATGCAAGCCTGAGCCTTTTGGCAGTTGTAGCTTTGAATCCTTGCTGCTCATTGACCCTGAAACATATTGGAATTTGTTTGAATTACCCAGGATTAAATTAACTTTTAAGCTTTACTTTCAATTACAAGTGTGGTTTATGACTTTATTTCATTGACTTTTTAACAAGTTTGGCAATCTGGAAATTTAGTCATAAATTGTTTTAACATATTCCACGTCTCTATCCTTGACTATATGATCTCACTTCACATTATCTTGAAGCAAGTGTATTAAACATTCCTGAAGAGGACAGTCCTCCTGAGAAATCCACATTATTTTTGAAGGATTATGGGCTAATCTTCTTCAAGAAACAAATATTAGATCTTACACAAATGTTATTTGTAATCATCATATTTCATATTTGTAATCATCATAAGTCTGAAGTCATTGCCATCATTTTACTATTCAACTATTATAACACCTAGCAAAGAAAGACCCTGAGATTTCCTCCATTTCTTTGGTCTGTGACTGTAATTCCAATGAGATTATCAGGGAATTATATCAGGATTAGTCCATCTGTGGACAGTAGACAGTTAAGACTACAGTACTAGCTCCATCCCTCCTGACATGATACCCTTTCTCTCGCTTATCTGAGAGAGGTTTAAATATGACTGTGCATCATGACTAATCACTCATGCTGGTCTGGAACTGTCTAAAACTGACTAAAAAATGTCATAAAAAGGAGGAACATTTAATAATGATATGCCATCCAAATAAAATATAAGAAGTCTTTTTTTTTTCTGTGTATGCGCAGCACATGTTTTATTTTAGAAAAGTGTCAAAAGGAATTTCGTACTGAGCGAAGAAAGAAAAAGATCTTTGTTGTGAGTATATTCAGGTGTTTAATAGTGTTTTGGCTCTAATTTCTCTAACCCATTTTTTAATGGCTTCAGTTGTAAAAGGATGCCGAATAACATTTAAGATGATTTGACGCCAGGGGTTGTACTAAAGTGCAGTTTTTCTCAACAGTTTTTCATTCTTATTGTTGCTTGTGGTTATACATTTTTGTTTCAAATGGATCTTTAAAAATATCTTCTCTTTTGTTCTCCCTCTTACTTTCAGATTGAGCAAGAAGCAGAGGTTATTTCTTCTGGTACTGATGGACAGTGGAACTCAACCAGTAACTAGACTGGACTGGTCTGGTCATGACTATGCTGCTGTAAATGAACTGTGACCTTTGCAACTCATCCTGAAGCTGAATGCCCGACACCTGGGTTGTGATTATTCTAGTGAGGCCACTTTAATATGCTACTCCTGCACCATTTTTCAGGATCTACAAAGCTGCTGCTCTGTTGGTAACAAGAGTCACAAAGCATACATGCCACTTGTATGTTTGAACTTTTAATTATTGTTGTTGATGTGAACACTTTTTTTTATTTTTTATTTTTTTTTTATTCAGAACAATGATTGGAATATATTTTACCCTGAAATATGTAATCGTCATTTACCTGACATCGACAAAGGTCCTTATTTCCCTATCCCATGAATAGCTACAGTTGTGATATTTTAGTTATTATAAATTATGACTAAAAGATGTCCACAAGTCCTTTCTCAGGTAAAGGCTTGTAATGATGTATGCAATTTAAGAGATAAAGAATTCCTACCTATTTTTTTCCTCAAATTGAATGTTCTCACATGACCAATCCAAAGCCTTACTCTCTCTGTCCCCAAAATTGTGACTCTGGACCTAAACAAAGAGAAAATATCAAAATATGTGATATTTATTGTATACACTCTATTTTTCCTAGATATTTAGTTTATTAAATACAAAACATAGTAAGTTGCTATATAAGAGTCCACTTTTGATATTCAGAGTGTCTTACCACGTAATCAGAGGTGGTTATTGCAGATAATATTAATAACTAAACATTATTAGTACATATTATAGTTATGACCAAAATTGGTCATTTTCTCATGTTGTTGCGTAAAATATTGACCATTCCCTGTTCCTCTGCCTCAAGAATTTCATTTAACAGTAATATTATATATGATAACAGTGACTATTTCCCATTTGCTTTAGAAATAGTATGCACTACTAGATGGTATTGATGCACAGAAAATGCCATAAGACACCACCTTTGGCTAAAGCAGAAGAGTAAAATGGAAGTAAATCACTTGAAAAGTATTATTAACAGAATTGATAGTTTTTCCAGACAAAAGCTTATTTCAAATGAGCACTTTCAGTTTTTTAGATATGTGGGTCCGGAATTTTGATGAGAATTTCGGTTCCTTTCTGGGCATCACTACTTGACCACAGTTTAATAGTTGGTAACTGTCTTAAAGGGACACTATGCAGGAATTCTGTTTTTGTCAAACATGTATCACAAATACCACTCATGCAGAGCTTGACATGTTACTTAGTATACAATAGTACAATCGTTTAATGAGATCTAATATATGGGGGATCTAATATATTTCAGTGAGATCTAATGATATCTAATATATTTCAGATCAGCATCTAATATATGTTGTTAGTGGTGAGAATTTTCACGTCAAATATATAGATCCGACAATTATTCCCATGTACTTTAATGGTCCAGTGGCAGAACTTTTGCCAAGCGTGTCAGAGGTTCTGGGTTCTAATCCACACTAAGTATTATATATTTTTTTCTTCATCAAAACCAATTGTTTATTAGTGGTTGCATATCAAGCAGGGACACTTTTTTATGCATTAGGCTTTGTGATTCCACCGTAACAAATATAGAGTCTCTCCGCAACGGATTGAAGCGTGCGTCCGTGTGAAGACTGTATCAGCGCTGAACACAACTGAACACTGTATCAGCGCCACTGATCACAGCGGCAACGAGCACTGTGGTCAGTTGATTTCAAAAACAACACATTTCAGATTTTCTTATTTAACACTTTATGACCTGCCATAGAACAATTCCACCAGAGTATATCTTTCTATTTTTACATGCTGTGCTGTCATTCTTTTGAGCATTTTCATATGCCAAACTTCAAAATAATCCTTACTCTTCCAATTTGAAGGCTATGTTTGTAATAAATCAATAGTAACTAGATAAATATCTCAAAAGTGCAATAAACAAAAAGAAAAACAATTCAAAAATTTCAATACAAAAAAATGGATAAATGTCAACCTCAAACTTGTCAATGTGAAAAACGTGCATGAAACAATTTTAAGCTATACAGAATTGATTTGAACTGTTTACATAAAGTAGTTTTTAAGATACACTCATTTTTACACTCATTCAAAAAAAAAAAGGGGGGGGGGTAAAATGCCATGTAAAATATTTGTGGTCACATTTGTGGTCAAACAGATAACATTTTGCTTTTGAATATTGATTGAACATTGAATTGGTTAAAATATAAAATAAATAGACCCTGACAGAACAATTAAAGGAGAACTACAGCGCAAAATTAACCTTTGGTCTAATTACACATTGTTACCTAGTCAACCGTTATCTGAGATTTGTTTTCATGATTGCCGAATGTAAATAGTTTTATCTCTAAAAACAGTTTAGCCTATAATGCTTATATAACGCTAGTATATGGGGCATAGAGTAATGACAAATAAAAATCGCTTGTTATTACCACTAACAAGGCTCAAAATAGCCCCATGCTAACACAGTAGCATAATAAGGGTCCCTACATTCAAACCGAAGCATTGATAAATTTGTCAGTGTCCATACAGTTTAATAAGAAGATATTTTAGACACACAGTCAACTTCGCGAAAACAGGAAGAAGCCATCTTTGAAAAATAGTCTCTACCAGTCGATCTACGAACGCCGATCCAAGTGCGCTGAACTGTGCAGAATCTCATATGGTCCGTTGTTCCCAGAAGAAACACAAACGCGAATTATTTTCTTCTTTTCAATATGTACACGTAGCCTACTGTTCATGCTCACCTTATCACCTTATTCACATCTCACCAGCGCACTTGGATCGGCGTTCGTAGATCGACTGATGGAGACTATTTTTCAAAGATGGCTTCTTCCTGTATTCGCGAAGTTGACTGTATGTATAAAATATCTTCTTATTAACCTGTATGGAGACTGACAAAATTTTCAATGCTTTGTTTTGAATGTAGGGACCCTTATTATGCTATCGTGTTAGCATGGGGCTATTTTGAGCCTTGTTAGTGGTAATAACAAGCGATTTTTATTTGTCATACTCTATGCCCCATATTCTAGCGTTATACTAGCGTTATTGGCTAAACTGTTTTTAGAAATAAAACTATTTACATTCGGCAATCATGAAAACAAATCTCTGATAACGGTTGACTAGGTAACAATGTGTAATTAGACCAAAGGTTCATTTTGCGCCGGAGTTCTCCTTTAATAATAATATAAATATAAAATAAATAAATAAAGCCGATGAGCAGATGGGAGAGTTCAGTGTCATCGCAATTAGTATTTCCAAAACCTCCGCGTCCGTGTACTTTCGTTTAGAAATAAAGTTGCGTGCATGCACACGTGTGTGTCTGTGTGTGAATGTGCTTGTATTTGTGAGTGTATAAACGAGAAAGAAATGATAGAATGAAGCAATGGTAAAAAAAAAACAATAATGATAAGAAGGAACATATAGCAGATGGGAGTCAAATGGGAGTCAAACGCATGGTCAAATGACGCAGCTTTTGACGTCACAACACGCACGCTGGGGCATAGTGCACTGAAACGTGGTACATCAATGAGCCATTGGAAGACATAACTATCAATCGCAGATCTACAGAACGTGTGCAAGGACGTGCAATGCATTTTTGTGGGGTTTTTTTTGTAAACGCATATTACACAATTTGTACAGACTCATTAGATGGTGAAAACAACGCAACATGAGCATGTTGGAGGCTTGATCTGAACATGTTATATCTCTGGTTTTGTATGCAAAAAGAATGATTGAGCTAGCCATTTGGTTTTAGTTTATATAGACTCTTAAACAGACACACGCAAACCGGAGCACTGGCGCTCCCGTCGGTCTTAGAGGGTTGATATCACGCGATACTTCCTGACGCTGAGGCCGGCAGCCATTCAACCCGAAAGAAGTCATTTAACCATTTCAATAACTCCAAAGCTGTTCAGGTAAGAAAAAAAAAACTGCATAGTGTCCCTTTAATTTGCTCACAATGGTTCTGTGTTGATAATATCGCAGTGATGTCTCATTCAACTAAATTGTAACACATGACGCATCTGAATGTACAGCACAAAACCCACTTAGACAGTATGAGTGAACAGATTATTGGGGCAGAAATATTATCACAGCAGGTGTAATTTTAGCCATTCTCTGCTTTTCCCTGAATGTTGTGAGCTAGGCTGAATACAAAAATGTGATCAGCTTAACATTTCATGACATTTAATATACTTCTACGGAAACTGTTAAGCAAATAAAAAATGCAAGATACTACGCATTGCATTTGTGATTTGTTCAAAACTTAATAAATCCCTTATCTAAAAACAGATGTATAGCACTGATATAGACATGTTGATGCTTTTTTAAAATTTGATGTTTAAGGTCCTAGATAACAGTGACACATGACACAATGCTACAGTATTATGTCATTTCTTGAGGTAATGGTACTCATTCTTCTTGATTCTTAGGAAGGTCTTGCTTCTTGGGTAGCATACATTCACCCTTTGTAAATGCAATTCTTACTAATCAGATTAGTTTACAAAGTGGAACCAAATGTATAAATATTATGTTAATCTAGTTGTTAAAAGATTTTACAGAGATGCTGAATTTATGCTGTTTGTATATTTCATCTGCCAACTTTTAAACGTGTTTTATTTTTCTTTATGAAACAAATCTATCTATCTATCTATCTATCTATCTATCTATCTATCTATCTATATTCAACAGTGTTCTTGAAGATCTTCAGTCTAAGTATAAAATATATATATCTATTGTTTATATGTATCAAAGGGTTAATATATTTTTTAATATTTGCCAGATTTAATTGAACAAACTGTCTTCCTTGTACAAATATCACATACTGTTTATTGATATGCTGTTACAGTAAGAGATCATTTAAAATATTCTAGATAAATATTACTTTTGTTTGTGTTGCAAAAGAAACATATGCAATAATACAAATAATAAATATCGTTATTTAAGGAAAATAAAATGTTTTATTGCAAGCTTATGATGCAATATAAATATACATATTTTGTTATAATTCCCACATCTTTACTGTGTCCCCATGCTTGAGAGTAATAGAGGAAGGAACACACAGTTCATTCATAAACAAGTCAACAGATTACTTCCTGTTGAATAAGCAGGACAAAAGCAAGTGTTATACCAGGCCCATATATTGTGCTAGACTGTGAGGTACAGTCCAGATCCACATGCAGGAAGTTTAATAGAGCAATACACTTCCTTTTCACTTTACGGTATACGGCATCTGGATCATTCATAACAGCGTGCCTTTTGAGTTCTTTAAGTTAAGTAAACACTTATTCAAGTGTTGTGATTTATGGAAGTGTTTCTGGGAATATATGCAGCACTTTATTAATCATAGCTTGATTATTTATGTAGAACGGTTAACAGGATGGATGGACTCTAAAACTCATTCTTCTTGATTCTTATTGGAAATACATGTGGGATTGGTTGTATGAGGTGGTATCGCCGACAATACAAGCTCACTGTTTTTCGTTATAAGTGCAAAAGAGACTGAAAATACTCTGCTGATATTGACATACATATACGTAAGTGTTATACATCATTCGATCCTGTTAAGTGTCTATTTTTTGTGTAAACTCACAATAAACAAAGTGCTGTGTTTTTTGTCAAATAAGAAAAATAAACATGATGCGCGGTATTCTATCTACATTCAAATCCGCAAGCCAAGCGTTCTTATGGTTTGGAGGAAAATGCTTAATGTGTAGGCTAATTAAACGCGTTGCATTCATATTCTGGGCTCATCTGATTTTTTGTACACAGCCTTTATTATGATTTTAGGCCTATTATAACGATTAATACACGCACAATTATCCGTGAAAATGTTGCAGATATGTTTTACTATGCACAAAAAATGCCTTTCAACTTACATAACTCAGCATGTCTCAAAGACATGAGACATATCTATAGAGAGCTGGAAACAACAAAACAATTCAAAACGAAAAAAAATAGGTACAAAGTCTTTTGGGCTAAATTTGGACCAAATCAAACGGACCAAATAGAGACCAGTTTTCAACGTCTATTTTTGGGCTAAATGAAGGCTATGACGGGCCGACTTGATTTAGCCCAAAAAACAACGTCTTAATGACGTCTGGTGCTGGGTGGGGCGTTTTGCCGTCTCTCTATGAGTAAAGCATTCTGAAAGCGTACGAAAATTAACTGTAACTCAGTCAATAGCCTACTTGTTACAGAGACGAGCGATTTCTCTTAGGAGGGGAAATTCTCTTAAATTAAGTCATTTATATATATAAAAATATTCTCAGTTTATGTAATCTGTATGAACAGAGAGTCTTTTTCCTTTCAGCTAATTATAGCATATTACCCGATATTAGCCTAGCTGTTAATGTGACCACACCCACGGAGAGCGTGCGCTATTCAAACGCAAATGTTGGATAAAACATCCAGTTAATAAGAATCTTGTACTTTACCTCGTATTGCTGTGCTGTGAGGAATAATACTATCATAATAATCCTGGAAAATTATACCTCAGAACTGCTGGTAGTTTAATTTCGAGGAGCAACCCAGACAGCAAACTGACATTGAATCAACGTGGAAACGACGTCTCTCATGACATTGAAACAACGTTGATTTTGCTCATCGAATTAACGTTGAACCAACGTCAGACACGGCATTCTTCAAAGCTAAATGAAAATCGAAAATTAGTTTGCTTTCATAACGCGTTGATTTCAAGTTGATTTTCCGTTAGCTTTGAAAGAATGACGCGTCTGACGTTGCGTTGGTTCAACGTTAATTCGATGAGCAAAACAATGTCAGATCAACGTTGTTTCGATGTCATATTTCCACGTTGATTCAATGTCAGTTTGCTATCTGGGAACGGATTCAGCTGATGAAGTAAGTTTTTATTCTTAAGTGTTTTGTTCTAATCGCGTTATTGAATAGTGTCTGTAAACTGCACAAAATCTGTTTAAATATGAATTGCGTGTCTGTCTGTAAATGAATGAATGGCACAGACGCGCATGCGATGTTACTACAACATCTGTGCCATTCATTCACTCTCGCTCCTACATTGTTTTACATGAATCGGTCCAAGACCGGAGTAAAGATAGTTTGCGGTTTGATTTTCAGTTTTCGTTTCACTGTGGTCCCGTAGTGCGTTGTCGTGGGCATGCAAATAATATCTCATGTCGTTATTCATAATTTGTGAATTTGTGTAACTGTGTTTCGCGGGAC